AGTCCTTGTATAGAAAACTTTCGCTTTTGACAAGACATCCTCATGAAATTCGGCACTGAGCAATACCTAAACCAATTATTCCATTATCTGATTATCTGAATTTTCCACATCGCACTAGTAGCTAAAGGTTCGCTGTCATATAAACGGTTTGATCATCATCACGTTGGAACGAAGCTTTTGTATTTGTAAAATGGCATTATGGCATTATTTTCGGTTTTGGTTTTTTCTTTTTATCTCCTTTTACTTCTATCTACTGTTATTCAAAAAATAATGATAAAAAAAAATATACATAAAAATCTGTACAAAAACATCTTTACTCTAACAATCTGCAGCAGTCGCTTGTAAGTATTCCTCGCTGATTCATTTACTTTCATSCGCTGCGTGCGCTCTTTTTCCCATCTTTCTGATCATTTTTCTCACAAAACATCAATAAGCATGGATAATTGCATAGATTTGCTTGTAAGTCGTGATTTCGCTTTTGCTCTTGTTAGCGCTGATTCAACGCTCCTTAGCAGCCAAACATTGACGTTTGATGTTCATGATCAAAGCTTCATTTGCATTCTGTTTTTTTTTTAGAATAACTTTATTGCCTACTCCTTTTTTTCGTTTAYTACATTCTGATCTGGTATACTACARYTCTAAGTACTATTARTGCTTGTTTCGATTTCAGCGGAAAAATGTTTGCTTTGGGATCAAATTTTTTCAGTGGAAAGTATTTCTGAGTATAAAATATTTATTTCCACTTTCGTAGCTAAATTCCCTTCTAGCTTGTACGGAGAAGAACGGATAATATTCTATATATATTCTTCTAAAAATCTATCACACAACTTTAGCTTCTAGTTGARAGTAAAAGCTTTAAAAGCTACTAAACTTCATGCATTCATTTAATCAAGAAATTGAAGCAGAAATCTTAAGGGTAGTTTTAGGTAGTCAATCATCAATATTATAAAATTCTGAGAATCTTGATAAAAGGTCTCAAATATAAGCCACTTAATTGCTTAGATTATCTAATTACACAAATGATTTGAATTTGTCGCACTATGTTTGAGATTCGTATCACATTAATTCCCTTTCCTTCATTGGCTTAGAATTTGAACTAAAGGAAAATAATGTTTCGATGTTGAAATATGAACCAGAGAGTTATACAATACTGTTTGAAACATAAACTGCTGAACATACTGAACTTGCTATGCTTGGCTTATAATTTCAATAATTTCTAAAAATTTTCCAAAAATWACCTTTTTGTTAAGTGATAGCTTATTCATAAAAGTATATATATGAAAGACCAGCTGATTTACCGGTATGCTTTTTTATTTACCTTTCCTTCGAACACATTTCTTAATAACTTCAGTTTTTCATTTTCGAAAGGTAGATACTYCGTTTCGAAATATATTTAAATTACAAATTCGCCAATAATTTTCTCTATGTTTACTTTGGCTCCTAACTGGAACCACATATGTACATACATATATATGTATTCCCAAATATTTCTGCCTTACGGGTTTAAAAGAATCGATTTTTGTATTATCTAATTAATTTATAGAATAATTTATAGAAGTTGATCCATGTCATATTTTCCGAGATGCAGCCTTGATAACTTGTGTACTCAAGGCTAGTTAGACTAAGTGCGCCGTCTTCAAACGCGTTTTTCTCGAAACTGTGTTTCTGAAGTCGGTTAGCACATCTTGTCGAGAACTATTCAACCGATCTTCATGATATTTCACATAGGTCTTTGAGATACAATTTTTAAAGACTTGAATGAAGCCTTTTTTTCTTGCGATTACAACTATTTAACTATTTATTTGCGAAATTGTCATTGAATTCCAGAAATCCAATATTAAATTTCTCCCCTTCGTCCAAGTTATAAGTTAATGTTTTAACTAAAACACGTATTTTTTCAATTTAGATGATCCAGCGTGGAGTTATCCTGAAAACGCTGTCATCGGTCATCAATATTTAATTTTTTATATAAGAAAAACTTTTTTGAAAAACGGCAGTTTTTACCCGAGGAAACCCATTTCATCCTTTTATGCTGCATATATCAACCAACATGTGAGTTATCTTATTAAATCTAGATCTGTTCCCGGTTTATTTAACAAAAATAATTTCTCAAATCTAACATTCACATTCAGTAATGAAATTTGCTTTACCCATAGTAAAATGCTTTCTCTCAATTAAAAATGGCACTTCAATTGAAAATAAAGCCACAATTGATGCGGCTCTAATTTTCAAATATCCAGCAGCTTTTCCATTCACAAGCAACAAATTTAATAAATGTATATGTATTTGCGAATTTTAATGCTAATTGAATTGAATAGCTAATTTGTGGCGGCTTACAATCAATTTAAACTAAAAGCTCAAACCGTATAATTACACCTAACATCGAATTGTAAAGGCGCTACCACACACACAAACATACACATACGGGCGCATTCGTATTCAGTACGGCGATGAATTTTCGAATAGTCGACATTGCAAATGTGCGGAGTAATAAGCATTAACAGTTACAAAATAGCAACAAATCGACGGCAAATCGAATACAAAGCGCATAATAAACATAAATGCAATTGCCGAATGGCCGATTTTACAGACGCAAACGCACACACATGTGCGTGCTCATTAGTTGCGATTCCTGCAGCACGCTTTCAGTATTGAACCGCAAGCGAATTTCCGAAAAACAGTTGAATGGCCCGCAGTTAAACTGTATTTAGTTGTAACTGTATCTGAGCAAATATCGATATTTAAACACATTTGGCAGCAATCGCATGGCGTGGCAAGCGACAGATGGACAAAGCCTGAATAAATGTGCACATTTTAGCATTTATGGGTGTGGTATGTAACGCTAGTGATACTATACGGTTCTATATTATAACAGTTTTAATTCAAAAACTCAATTTAACACTGCCGTTATAATCCGTTTGATTCAGCTTTTTTCAATGGAAACGCTGTTTTCAAGTAAAATTGGATATCTTTCATTTTAAATTTTTTTGAAATAATATTATTAGCTAAGGATATCTAAAGTTTATGCTCTCAATATATTTCACAAACCAATATTTTCGCACAGCAACAAAATATTAAAATAAATAAATAAATAAAATAAGGTTGTACTGTTCCCAAAAAAAAAACGGTATATATAAAAG